GGGTAGATCATCTTATGTAGGCATAAATGTTTAATCTATTTAGGTGTCAACTTTGTACACTATAGTTGTTGTCCTAAACTATACATGATTATAAGACCATTTTGGTAGCTCTGAATGTGTATAATTAGGTTATCTTATTAATTTCATCTCCTTTAGTAAGAATTCCTTGAACCTCTAGGGATTATCAGTCGTACATCTTTCTAGCTTACTTCTTAGGCTTCATATGTCTAGGATTCCCTATTTCTCATCTCAGTTAGGATTACAAAACTAACTCTATATAATGTAATTCATGGTTGCTAACAGATCATCTCATAATTAGATTGTGTAGATTTCCTTCACAGTTAAGTGTTTCATGCTTGATAGCATGTGGGATGAAAAACCTACGAAATTTTGACCAAGTTTATTTCTACTTTTTACTAGGCTCGCTACCAAATCACATTCTCCTTTTAAGCCTATTGTACTCCTTTTTTAATCTTTGGTCATTTGAAGATTATTATTATATAGGCTTTTTTATATAAGGAGACAATCATCTCACTAATTTATGGTGATTTACTCTTTGATTTGTGGTAAAAGTTTGAGGATGTTGTAAGATCTCAATGAATTATCCCTAGGCACATTAATAGGAGGGGGGTGAATTGGTACTTTTTAAAATTATTGTTAGAAAAACATTTCTTATTAAAAAAATGATTTTTTAAAATAATTATGAATAAGTAATTAATCTAATGCATACGGTAGCAAATCAAGATTTAAAATATTTTTTGTTTTAAGGCGCAAATATATTAATCAAGAAGTGGAAAATTTCACCCCTTTTTAAACCACAAATTTACCTAATTACATACAATAATATATAATGAGATTCGTGCAATAAGTTCAAATTGCAGAAATAAAAAATGCAAAAATAAAAGTAGAAACAAGAAAGAGTCTGCCAGAAATTTTATAGTGGTTCGATCAACCTTGACCTACGTCCACTCCCTAGAATCCTCCTCTCTGGGTATTTCACAAATCACTTTAGTGTCTCTCCTTTAGCCCCCACAACAAGGTTGAGAAGCCCTTACAAGAATCACTTCCACCAAACCTTGTGCGGCGGAGAATCGAAAGCTATGTCACACTCCTAGTCATGGCAACGGACCTTCAATCCTTTTTCTCCCTTTAGAGAAGGCGGAGAATCTAGAATTCTTCTTCACCCTTCTAGTGATGGCAGAGAACTACAATCCTTTTTCTCCCTCTTGGAGAAAGCAAAGAATCACAATCCTTTTTTTCCCTCTTGGAGAAGGCAAAGAACCTGGAATCCTTCTTCACACTGCTGGTGATGGCAAAGAATCACAATTCTTTTTCTCCCGCTTGGAGAAGGTAGAGAACCTTAAACTCTTGAATTTGAAGCTTCTCTCCCAAAAGAATCTTTATGAATTCACCAATGCCATAGGAGGAAGGTAGGTGCAAGCTTGCCTAGAGCAATCATGTGAAACCCCTCACACTACTTCTCCCTCACACAAAACCTCTCCTTTTTTTTCCTCTCTAAACCCCAAAGCTTTTAGGAAAAGTTCTCCTTAGAGTTTCTTCAATAGCCTAAGTCTTTTGGAAAAATACTTCAAAAGGTTGCTTAAGTAGTAGGCATTAAAAAAAACCCTAATATTTCAATTTAGTTGTCTTTGTTCATATAGTATGATCTGGGATAGTATAGTACAATCAGTTTAAAAACATGACCTATCCAGTCTGATGATAATAGTCGTTCAGATGAACTATTCAATTTTAGCAAACATATCATACAGTGTATATAGTTTGATTTTGTTCTATTCATACAATACGATCATGGGGACGATTGAAAATCATCTCTGCCAATCATTCAGTATGATTCACATCATACAATATGGTTAGTGTAATACTAATAGTTCATACAGTATGATATAAATATCATAATATACAACAACTTCAAATATCAAGGTTTGTTTGGTACAATTTATGGGATGACTAAATTTCTTCTTTATTAATTATATGGTACAATCAAGATCGTACAGTATGATTAGTCATATTTAACTAAACATGATTTGATTTACTAATTATGGGGGATAATTTAAGTAAGATTTAAAATATTATATAGTACAAATACTTCAAAATTCATTTTTTAAAATTCTAACTTAATTTATCTGGCGGCTAGGGTTTCTCAAATCAAGATAAATCGTACAATACAATCTGCATCATATGGTGTAATTAGTTCATTAACATTAATGATTCAATTAGATGTTAGCCTTCTTCTTTGTATAATGGATCGTACGGTATTATTAATTTAAAAATTTGACTTCTCAAATTTTCCTCACTCCTCTATGTGTATTTGCACGATCACCAATTTTTGCATGTACCCTTACATGGCCAGACTAGAGAAATAAAAAATATAAAAAAAATTAAAATTACATACTCTTTTGATTGATATGCTGTTCTACCCAAATTTGAGTCTTCAATAATCTTGAGTGGTGTATGTTGTACCTGAAATTTTAGTTGGCACAGACAAAAATAATATCCAATATATATCTGTTCGGAGAATTAAAAAACTCAATCAATAAATTTTTTTATCATCAAAATCACAAGCAAGGGATCCTAGATTGTAACATGTCAATCGATTAACCCATCTTAAAGCATATATTATTATATTAGGATAAAAGTCTTTAAATCATTATCTTACTTTGAAGTCAACTCAAGAAAATCAAAATAAAGACATGTTTTATATATTGAGAGATTCACTTAGAGATATCTTTGATTATAATCGAAATAAATATAGTTATTTTAAGCTATTATGACTTATATATGTGGATAAGTAGGATTTTTCTTATCTTTGTTAAGTTTTAGGCTTCGTTTGGGACAACTTTCCTATTACTTTTTAAAATAGCTTTTAGTACAAGAATGTATAACCCAAAAAAAAAAATTGTACTAAAAAACTACTTTAAAAAGTAGTAAGAAAGCCATCACAAATGAAACCTTAGTTGTACAGTGAGATAATTGACTTTGATTTATTATTTACAGTCTCATAATGAGATGCGTGTCCTAGGTTTAAGGTTTTTTTAAACAAAAATTGCTCTATGTCTCATGTATAATTGTTTTAGTTAATGTTTTAGGGTCTGATGATTTATGTTTCTTTCCATAATTTTTCACTAATTTGTTCAAGAAGTTAATTGTTTCAAGGAGTTGAATGTCTTGAATTTATTATGCGTTGCCTTGTTGATTTGATAGCATATTCAAGGGTTTAGCTAACATTTTAAATAATTACAACATATAGCGATTAGAAAAAGAAAATCTTGGTGTGAAATTGCCATAATACTAAAGTTTGGAGTGAAGACCTTGATTTTGATAGTTTAATAACTTTTTGTGGTTGCTCCAAGCTTAATTTTGTTATTACAAGCCCTCTTAGTGGTGTGCTATAATTTTATGTTGTTTATATGATAGTGTTGTGCTAGTTTCTTATGAATTTTTGTTGTAATTAGTGGTGTGCTTTCTTCTTTGTTTTTTTTTTTGTTAGATTTTTATAAAGGGAGTTCCATAATTCTTGTAGTTAATCAATCCTTGGCAAAATGTATTGCTGTTGCTTGGCTTATTGGTGGTTTATTGGTATTGTAGGTTGTTAGAATATTGTGGATAGAGGCCTATTGAGTTCTTCAATAAATGTTGTTGGACAGAAGACAAAATAATTTATTGTTGAATAGAGGCTATGATGATTTGTTCAATTTATATGAATTATGATTTCTCTGTAATTGAGATGGCAGAATGCGATACAAATACATATATGTGTGAAAAGGTTAGAGTAGTTATTGCGGTAGATAAGATTACAGAGAGTCATCTTAGATGGTTTGGTCATATAAAGTGTCGGCCTTATGATGACCCAATTAGGTGACTAGATGGAGGTAGACGTAAATAGACTTAGTTAGAAAGCAGGCCAAAAGAAAATAAGAACTTAAATATCAATCTGAGCATATAATTTTTTATTTGATAGTTTTTCAACTATGCAACATTCATATATTGGATTCTTTCAAATTTTGTTAACAATTTGTAGTGTCTTTGTTTCAATAAATAATTTAATTTTTACTGTTTGATTATTGTTTTGTGAGCATAAAGAGTAGCAAAGGAGCATGTTCACTTAGATTGGAGAATAAAGTTATAGTAGCTCATCGACATGAAAACAAACCAATACAAATAAGGCATATGTGAACAATTTCGAGCACAAGGTAATTATAAACAAAGCATAAATTCAAACAGGCTGTGCACGAATAAAAACTTAGCTCACGAGGCCCGATTTGTCTACTTTAACAAAAACATTAACTTTCACAATTTAAAACTTAGCTCACGAGGTCCGATTTGTCTGCACCGCTGCTTGGAACTAGCTAGCAACAAGAGATGCTCCATGCCTAAAGATTTTCACAATTTTGAACCTCCAATCACCATAAGAGTCAATCTAATCATTATTCTATACTGCTTCAATCCATATAAATTTAAGCCATTTCCAAAACAAATCAAAATGGAAGAACATAAAAGACCAATTAAGCCTATACAAAAGCCAAACAAAGTAGACAAAGTGCTGAGAGGGGAGAGAGGTTGACATGCCACTTGTATCTCCACTATAAACCATCATCTACACATCAGAAACCACCAAGAAGAAGTCCAAAGATGACAACTTTGACAGCCTAAGCTTCAAAAACAAATTCAAGCAAATGGTCAACAGAGGAAAGTTCCTTCCTTCTTCAGGCACTTTAGATGTAAGTTGCAACATAAAATACTTGAAAGCTGAATCTAGCTAGCTCTTTAGAAAGGTGAGAAAATAGAAATATAAAGCACTTTTTCAAGTAATAATAACACTATTGGAATCTTAACATATGATCCCCCTGACCCTATCTACTTGTCTCAATTCAAACCAGCCTTTGAATGCCTCGCAACTCTATAATGGATTATGGCCTCCTTTTAGCACTATAAATGCCACCAAGACTCGTCTCTCTTCAACCTGCCATCTCTTCTTCTTCTTCCACTCTACTGTACAAAGACATGGTAGCTAACCATTTCATGCCAGAGAACAAGGAAAGCTTCGTTCATCTTGATTTGCCAGTTATAGACCTCTCTTGGAAAAGAGAGAGAGCGAGGAAGCTCATTGTGAGAGCTTTCAAGGAATTTGGTTTCTTTAAGCTGATTAACCATGGTGTTTCAAAGGATATTATTTACAATATTGAGAAGGAAAGTAAGGAATTCTTCTCATTGCCTGCCTCTGAGAAGCAAAAGGCTGGACCTCCAAATCCTATAGGATATGGAAGTAAGAAGATTGGATTCAATGGTGATACCGGCGAGCTCGAGTACCTTCTCTTCCACACAAATCCTTCTTCTATCTACCAAAGAGTTAGGACACTTAACAGGGAGGATCCTAGAAACTTCTGGTAATTAATCACATAATCTGCATATTCCTTATTGTCTTTTAATCTCCATCTTTCATGCTGAATACTGAAATCCTTAACCAGAAACAGCTATAAATTATGACCATTTAAGTTATTAGCTGTACTGTTTGGCTGAAAATCCTTTTTTATTTTTTTCAATCTATTTCCAAAGTTTGCATCTGAAGTTATTTTATATATAATTAGCCTTTCTGACGTTTCTGGTGAGATGTCACTTAGAAAATATGGTGAAATGTTATGTGGCTAGGGTGGCGACCAAAATTTATATTTTTTTATGTTTTATTTCTCTTTATATATATAACATTTCTCTCCTTCTTAGTATTAAAATCCTCAATTATAAATTGCTATAATTATAATAATTCTCTAAGTTTTTTATATGTTCCAAAGATCAATTTTATTTTTAATGATATTTTTCAAATATTTTCTTTCTTGTGATTCTGGTGAGAGGTCGCTGAGAAAATAGGGTGAAATGAATCAATTGTAAGTTTGGTGTATCAAACCCCAAAAGTTTTTGAGATCTTATGAAGAAAAACAATAGAAAAAAAGTTGAAAGTTCTAATTTTATCTCTGCAGTAAGTAATTCTTGAAAAACTAGGATTAAAAATTTAATAATGAGGACATTTCAATGTCACAATTATAAAGCCACAAGTCCTTATCAATAATGACAAAGAATGATGGCTTAATATCCCATATTTCCAAGAACACAAGATTTTCCAGTTGCATGTGGTAAACTCTGAGAGCGACAAACAAAAAATACAGTAACTGTAAGACTATAAAAACGTGAACCAATTATCACAATTGTTCTTCTCATCTTCCTCTTTGTCATGCAGTTGTGCAGTGAACAATTATGTGGAGGCCATGAAGGAGCTTGCTTGTGAAATTCTAGACATGTTAGGAGAAGGATTGGGGCTTGATGACAAGAGGACCTTTAGCAAGCTTGTAAGGGATGAAGATAGCGACTCACTTGTGAGATTAAACCACTATCCTCCCTATTATGGAAACAGTGAAGATAGATTGAGCATCTCTAAAAATAAAGATGACAAGGTTGCCAGGGTTGGATTTGGGGAGCATTCTGACCCTCAGATGTTGACAATCCTAAGATCAAATGATGTAGAAGGCTTGCAGATACAATCACCTACAAATGACAGAGTGTGGATACCAGTTAAATCAGATCCATCTGCCTTCTTCGTCAACGTTGGTGATGCACTCCAGGTTGGTCATTCTTCATAATGTTTAGGCTTCGTTTGGGACATCTTTGTTACTGCTTCTTAAAGAAGCTTTTTAAAACAAAAATTAAAATTTTTTTACTAAAAAACTGCTTTAAGAATCAGTAAGAAAGTTGTCTCAAACAAAACCTTGATTTTGACCTACTTGGGAATAATATACTCTTCTTCTACAGGCAATGACAAATGGAAGGTGTTTGAGTGTGAGACATAGGGCCATGGCCAATACTAGAAGATCAAGGCTCTCCACAATGTTCTTTGCTGCACCACCACTTCATGCTTGTATCTCTCCTTTGCCTGAGATGGTTACACTTGAGAACCCACAAAAATATAGGTCGTTCACCTGGGATGAGTACAAGAAGATAATGTACTCACTAAGACTTGCTTCAAATCGACTCAACCTCTTCCAGTTGGACTACAAGGAGGAAAACATAAAAGTAATTAGTTGACTATTATAAGTTTTAAGAGCAGAGATATAAAGGAGATATATTCATAAGGGCTTGTGTTCAATCTCTAATTTTTTCCAACAAATTTTGCTAGTTGTGAACTGATGATTAGAGAGGGATCAATTAGTTTAGTGGAATTCATTTTGTACTGTAAGTTAGAGTAGATAGGAATATGAATTCAAATTAATTATTTGTAAAATGTAATTAGGTGATTTTTTTTTTCCTATTCCAAGTCAAGGCTCTCTCCCCTTGAATGAACATTATCAAGTCAAATGAAGAAGTTGATAATAGAAGATTGCCTATGCATCCAGTATAACATAATCTACATGACAAGTAGTTCCAAATAGCAAGGTTGTGCTAGTTGATAGATGATTACTATATATTCTCTGGCAAAATTCATGGTGAACTACACAAGTAAAGGTCATGGTGAACTCTATCTAGGGGTGTAAGTGAGCCAAGCCGGCTCGCGAGCTGGCTCGAGCTGGCCCGAGCTCTACTCGTTTATAGGCTCACAAGACGAGCTTATCGAGCTCACGAGTCGAGTTCGATCTTGATGGGGCTCGGCTCGTGAGCTCGCCAGCTGGCTAGAATCATTTTAAGGTAGTTTGAGTAATTAATATTTTATTAAATTTAAATCTAAAAAAATAGATGGTTGTACCGCGGTAGTTAGTTTTTCAAAAACATATAATTTAAATAATTATTATTTTTTAAAACTTTTAGTTAGTTTTTCAAAAACATGTAGTTGTACTGTGGTAATAAGTTTTTCAACAAAATTAATTGTTGTACAAGTGTGTATGTTCCCAAGAAAAATGGTTGTCAAATGTAAATGCAATGCATTAAATGTTTTATACAAGAGAAAATAAAAAACGAGTGTATGCAGTGCCACTGGATTCGAACCGTTGGCCATTTGGTGTCAACCATGTGAACACCTTCTTTTATCCAAGGGAAAGAACAACGGATCACGTGGATTTAGGCATCTGCAGGTCCGCATGGATTGGGACCGCTAGCCTCGACTCCGGCATCTGCAATCTAGCTGGGTGGAAAATTGCGGTGGGCAAGAAACCAAAATCAAGCAGCTAGACGAGCTTGTTTTTGTGTCGCAAGTCGAGCTCAAGCTCCAATTTTAAGCTCTACTCGAATTCAAGCTCGGTATTTGACTCGCAAGTCGAGCTCGAACACCCCTTGACTCGAGCTTGACTCGACTCATTTACACCCCTAACTCTATCACATAGCTCGTAGCACCCTCTAAAATAAAAAGTTAAGATTTTTTGCATAGAAATCTTAAGTTGTGTAGAATTTATATGGTTGCATTCTCGTTTACATCATCATTTATAATAAAATTATATTGTGATGATGTCTAGTTAATATTGGATCACATTCGTATCAGAGCATGTATTCCACTAATTATAGGATTTAATATCATTATCAGGGGTAAACTAGATTGAGAGTTTTTTAAGCTCAGCCCTTCAATGTAAAGAAGAAAAAATGAGGGAAAGATAGAAGAGGATTAGTCAATCACTTAAGCAAACAACCTTGCAAATTCCCTAAAGATAATAGCCAATTAAGATGTTGAAGTCAATTAATCATACAATTGTCTAAAATGATGGATGTTTTCTTAAGAGTTTTTTAAGAGGACCTGTGTTAACTCTTTTTTTATGCGAGGTCAAAACTTTAAATCAGAATTCAATCTTGATTTTCAATTCATTGAATTCCATTTCAAATTCAAATAAAAATTCCAAATCTAAACCCCAACATCCCTTAGGACAATTATCCGTTGTTGGGGAATTTTCAAATCATTCAAAACTCTATCAAGTGACCATGAAATCATGTTTGATTAGTTCCAAGTGAAGCATAAAGAACTCATCATGCATTTTGAACATAGAGACCTTGTGACATGGGACCATCTCCAACAAGTTTCAAATGTCATTTAGAATGTGTTGGACCCAATCCCAACCCCTTGTCAAACATGTTTGACCAAGTTAACCTAGGTTGACTAAACACACCTATGTTGCAATCTGAGATCCTGAGCTTAGGATTTTGATGATAGCAAACATTATTGGATTGTTATTTCATTTCTTCTAGAACTATTATTGCATATCTTTCGTGTGAGCACTAAACATTTGAAGTACACCATGCAACAAAGGATCGACTCAAGACTTGATAAAATAGGTTTGATGTTTTTAAAAGAGTCTATATTTTCATTTTTTTTTTTATATTTCTTAAGTCAAATGTCCTGTAAAAGGTATATGCAATCTTGGAGATCGTGCAAACATAGACCACGGAGCAAAATTCTTTTTTTTTTCTGTGAAGTTTGTACTGCATGATTTGTATCATATTGTATGATCTGGATAAAATAGGAATTAATTAGAATATTTAATTAAGATAATTTAAATTTGAACTAATTATATTGTACGTTCCAAATCATACAGGACTATCACTAGAAATAAAAAACTATGCTGTCAATCATAAATTAGGTAATATTTTAAAACTTAAAAATAGAATGAATCGTCTTACACCATTAAGATCATACTAGATGATGTATTTAAATTGTGCATAATTTAATTCTATAATTAAGAAATTGAATCCAGATTAATTGAGATTTCATATTGTATTGTATGATGTCCTTATTCATACAATACGACCCAATTAGCTCTTGGGATGATATTTAATAGTCAGCCATCATACGGGACAAAAATCATATTCGATTGAATTAATCATACTATACGACCTAGATATCATATTGGACGATCAATTAAAATACTTCAACTAATTGTACAAACACTTGTTCATCGTACAGTACTAACAAGATGTATTGTACGATCAAAAATTGATAACATGAAAAATTAGATTTTTTTGGAAGCCTTGTATTTAAACTTTCTCAAGAGACTCTAGAAGTGTCTTTTGGCTATTGAGAGAATTCTGTGGGAGAGCTTTGTTAGAAATTTGTGTTCTTAAGAGATCATGGATCTTTGAGAGGAAGAGGGGGAGAAGGTGTTTATGAGGGAGAAGTAGTCTAAAGGGGATTTCACACGGTTGTTCCAAGCAAGCCTCTATCTAAGTTCTTCTATATCTTAATTTATCTTGAGGTCAGGAAGCCTCAAGGGGAAAAGTCTTCAAGGCCAAAGATCATAGGTTCTCTTCCTCATTAGGAGGGTGAAAAGGATTCCTATTTCTCTATCTAACTAGGAGGGTGAAAAGGATTCCTATTTCTCTATCTAACTAGGAGGGTGAAAAGGACTTTAGGGTTCTCTGCCTCACCATGATGAAGTTTCAAGTTCTCAGCCACGCCGTAGAAGGGTGAAATCAATTTTGTAAGGGCTTCTCCGCTTTGTTGTGGGAGCTAAAAGAAAGTCATTAAAGGTTTAGGGCAATATCTGGATAAGACTCCGAGGAGTAGACGTAGGGCAAGGTTGACCGAACTACTATAAAATTTCTGGTGTACTCTTATTTCCTTTAACACTTTTATTTTTTGAATTTTAATTCCTATAATATTATCTTCTTATAAATATTGTATAATCATATTATGATTATTTTGCATAGATTTGTGTGAGTAAAAATAAAAAAAGAAAACAAAAATATTTTCTGTTCATTTTTATAAAATAAAAATATATAAATTTTATTCGGTTCATTGCTTTTTTGCTTCCACTTGTGTTTATATTTAACATCATTTGTAACATGAAAAAGGTTTTGAAAAAAAATATTTTTAAATAACCAATTCATCCCCCACCCCCTCTTGGTGTGCCTAGAGTAGTTCAGCAAGGTTTAACAATCTCTTTTGAACTTTCAATTAGTATCAGAGCGAGTCTCTAAATTAGTGATTTAAAAATCCTTAAGAAAATGATCCATGGCACAATTTGGAAGTAGAAATATTGTGGAGGGTTATTCAATAATCCATTCAGCACTGTTTGATAATATTTCCTTTGATTTTTGAAAAATTTGTATGTCTATAGTTCTATACTCAATGGACTATCGCATATGGCATATGATTCAAGTTGGATATACACCTCAACTTGTATTATTAATAGCTTCAAGGAAGAAATTACTTTTAATGAATGGAGTTTTAAGGATACTGACTATGCACAACTTAATGAAAAATATTTAAATTGCCTTTTTTGTGTACTTAAATCGGAAGACTATATGAGAGTCTCTACCAGTATAATTGGCAAAGAAATTTGGGATAGACTATACATTACTTATGAAAGTAGAAATGAGGTTAAACAATCTCGTTTAAACTTACTATTAAATGATTATGAAATATTTTGTATGTAACTAAATGAAACTATCTATGACATGTACATAAGATTTATTAAGTTAGTGACATCTTTGCATGCCTTAGGTAGAGAACATCAAGTTTTAAAAAATGTTGGCAAAATAATTCATTGTATGCCACATAAATTTAATGCAAAGGTCACTATTATCTATGAATAGAAAGACTTAAATGTTTACTCAATTGATAATTTACTTGGCTCTCTTATTACCTATGAGCAAAATGTAAGCCAAAAATTATAGGATGTATGAGAGAAAAGGAAGGAGAAGACTATAGCACTGAAGGATGACAACTCAAACAACGATAGAATTAGATGGAAATTATGATATAATTATTTTGATGAGGCAATTCAAAGACTTCTTGAAGCGTAAATAGAAGTGTCATTTTGAAAAGGGAAAAGGTAAGGAAGGTAAATTCAATAAAAGTTCATCTTATGTAATTTATTTTCAATGCAAGAAGCCATGGCATTTAAGGTTTGATTTCCCAACCTGAAAACTCACCCTACCAAGGAGAATTGTGAAGAAAATATGAATTTTAAAAGGGAAGTAAATGATGCAAAATGCCTTCTAGGTAGACTCAGCCTCAAATTTGTCAGAACAAGAGTTGAAGGAGGAGGAATAAATAGTGCCTTATGGAAAATGATAAACTTGATTATTATGATCAAGATCAGGGATGCTCTCACAAAATACCTAGTGAAAGCATGTGGTACATGGATAGTGAGTTTTCAAAATGTATTTCTATTGGTTTGATTTTTTTTTAATATTCCAAGTCAAGGCTCTCTCCCCTTAAATGAACATTATCAAGTCAAATGAAGAAGTTGATAATATAAGATTGCCTATGCATCCAGTATAACTGAATCTACATGACAAGTAGTTCCAAATAACAAGTTTGTACTACTTGATAGATGATTATTATATTTTCTCTAGCAAATTCATGGTGAACTACATAAGTAAAGGTCTTGGTAAACTCTATCGCATAGCTCGAAGCACCCCTTA